TATTTGTTGGGAAGCTGCCTCAAACTAGGGAATATTACGGAATCTTGAGGTTGACATGCCTCAGTATTCTAACTGCAGGTATTCAGTAATCAGTGCTACTCATGTCTCATGTAAATTTTACATTTTTTTATCCCATTTTTTCCTCACAGCTGGTATAATAGACTCAGTTCTCTAATGTAGGTGATCTCTCTACTCAGAAAAATTCTACAGAGATTTATTTCAATGTAAAGCTTCAATAAAGCTCTCATTGAAAAAGTTTATTTATAAAATTTTGAAGTATTTATAGAGACAAGAGTTTATCTAATTTGTTTGTACTAATCCATCTTCTCAGGTAATTCATGAACTTCTTTAAAAATAATTTAGTTAGGAAAATCCTACATATTCTGCTCTAAGAAAGTATCTTACCACACTTTCTTATTTTATACTCAGAAGCTATTAGAGGCAGATAGGAGAGAAAATATTAGCGGCTTGCCAGATATCCAGCTCATAAATGACAAAGATAGGATGTGAAAACAGATTTCTGATCCCAAATATTATTTAATGTTCACACCAAATGCCAAGGAAAATAGGTTTCAAAGGTGAGAACAGATGGGGAATCTTGGTTCAATTTTTCTTGATATTTAGCTGAAAAGGTGATCAGGTTTTAGTCTGCTGTCAGAATAAAAGGAGGGCGGTCTTTTGCTCTTGTTAAAATTTCTCTACCCTTCTAAAGATTTGTCAAAATGATATTGCATTAGAAAAAGTTGTTTTATTCCGCAATTAGAGGTGAGGCTTCATGTGAAAACACTGCCGAAAGAAAACATAATAAATTAGAATATACATAGGCTTAAATGGCTTAAAGTGAGTGACATATTTTACCCCAGTTTGCACAGGTCAGTCCCCATTTATGTCAGTCGTCATCGTATCCTGGTTTAGCCTTTTGGCACTCTCCCACAATACCTGAATTAGATAGTCACTTAGAATTGTGCCAATCTTTGACACAGAGCAGAGTTTGACAGAAAATGACAATGTAAAAAAGGAAAAGGAAAAAGAAACTAGCTACCTGCTGCTGGGTCAGCTATTACTGGAGGGAAAAAAAGTGGAAAGCACAGGGTTAGATTCCAAAATTTAAGTGTCACCGCTGTCACAATTTTTTTTTAAGAATAACCCAAGACCCATTTGTTTTTTAGTATCCATACTTCCTGCCAGCATTTACCCATGCAATGTGGGTGAAAATTGATCTAATCTCGGATGACACATTTCTCATATCAGCATAGAGAAGTGGTGGACCTCAGGGAGGTCCTTCCTATTCTCCATTTGCATTCGAGCTCTCTTGCTTATTTAAATAAGTAGAAATTAGGACTCATTGGCATGACTTGATTGAACAAATTTATGCAATATGTTTGACCTCATAAATAAACCATAGTCCTAAAATTTTCAACAAAGAGCAAAATAGATTAAATATTTTTAAAATAGTACATATTTAAAAATTCTTGGTAACTGAATTAAAATACGATTATATATTAATTACCAAACTGTATGAGAAATAACTACCCAAACCAAATTTAGATATCAGAGAAAAAATAAATATCTTAACCAAATATTTAAAACATTTTGGTCTAAAAATCAAATAAAGTTACAATTGGAAGTAACAGTTTGGGTAAGATAGTTGCAATTAATATACGCACAGAGCAATGCCTTTTTTCCTATAAAGAGAAATGCTAATTTTAGAGAAATTCCAAATGGAGCAAAGGGCAAGTGTTGCAAACAATGGAATGACAAAATAAGTAGAAAGGCAAAATATGCACATAAAAACGCTCAAATTTCTTAGTAATCAGAGAAAGTCACATTAAAGCAAGTTCGAATACTAGTATTCAGTGCTGCAGGGAGCACCCGGCCATAGGGTGTAGGATGTTCTCAGCTTCACTAGTCATCAACTTGGTGTAATTTCAAAAGCCTGATCGCCGGTCCTCCACGACGTGTCCCACAAAATTAACCCCACGGTATTGGACGTTGTAAACAAATCTAGAAGTGGCATGAATGCCAGCCAGTTAAGAAGTAAGAGCAGGTTACATGATTCAACGTTAATGATATTCTGTGAAAAGACTGCACATCTGTATACTTAACAGTATTTATTTAACATTTGATACCATTTAAATACTTAATAGTATTTAATACTATAATATGTTTTAGAAAGCTGAGAATATACTAAGATAAAAAAATTATATACAGACATTCAAATCATAATTATATCAGGGCATGAAGTATTGTGATTTGTTTTTCTGCTTTCTTATTTTCTAAATATTCTTTAATGTTTCTATAGTGCTTTGTAATTTTGAAACGCCAGCCACAAGTCAACACTGACAGAGCGGGAGGCAATGCTTTTGAAATCTTAAGAATTAGGGAGATGCTGGGGGGTTCCTCCCCCGCTGTGAAGAGTCCTGGACCCCGGGGCCTCGTTAGTGTGTCTCAGCCCGGGGCGTTCGTGGTCAGCTCTGCGGGCGCCCGCGCCCGCAGCTGGTTTCCTGGCCGCCTGCCCCTCCTGGGCTCTCGCTTTCCCCGTGGACCGCCAGCAGTCCCGGAGTTTGTCCCCGCTAGCCGCCTGCCCTCCTCCGGATTTAAAGGGAGACAGTGAGCGGCTCCAAGCAGCTAGTTCTCGCTCATCATGCAATACCTACCCGGCGCGGGCTTGGTATTCCCAGCGGCTCCACGCGGTTGGTGGGGCTGGGGCAGAGCAAGCGCACACATCAGGAAAACAGCTGGCGAAAGCCCTGTTGTGAAACTGGGAACACTTAAAGGGTAAAAAAACTGGAAAATCTGTAAGTGCATAACATAGGGCTCATCAACAAAAGCCTGGCCGAGATCTGCTGCCTTGGCATGGTCTGAGCGGGATGTGCAGAGGTGCCTGCACCTCAGGTCGCATCGCTTCCACGGGACCCCTACCCTCACCCCAATGTCTCTCCCTCCGTGTGTTCTCCATTCAGCACCAGCTGAGAGAAGCCAAAACCCACGGGCTCTCATCAAAAACACCCTTAAAGTGCACCTGTGCACACATGTGACAAGGTTTTATTTGCCTCGACTGTAGGCTCTTTGAAGGCAGGGACCATATCTTGTACATTTTTTAGATTCTTTCAGAAGTTAAAATTTTAAATCTACAGTGTGCCTTAGGAAATGTTTGTGGGATGAATGAATTGATATCTACTTGAGAATACTGGGAAACAGCATAGCATGATTATACTGCCTACGGAGAAAGTCTCTTAATCGCTTTAAACCGTGTGTTTTTTGTTTGTTTGTTTGTTTCATTTGTAGAATGAATAAAGCAGTGGTGTCATATTTCATGTCAAGATAAGTAAATTAAATAACTTACGAATCCCTGAGCACTCTTGTTGTGAATGTGTTCTTTCTACTCTTTGCAGGCTACTGCGTATAGAGGTGACATCCTTCCTTTTTTCTAATATGCTCTTAAGCCTGAAATTTTTTGCTCAGTTCTTCCAAAATTGGATTGTGTTTAATTTGAGAGTTCTTGGTTGGATGGAGTTATTTGGGGCCATCATATATTCCAGGAAAGGGAAGCTCTAGACCAATGCTCTCCAGGAGAAATCTGACGGGGCCACAGAAGTAACTTAAAATTTTCCAGTAGCTACATCAAAAATGTAAAAAGAAACAGGTAAAACTAATTCTAACCTATGTTATTTAACCAAATATATACCAAATACTATCATTTCAGCATGTGGTCAACATAAAAATTTTAATGAGATATGCTGCATATCTCTAAATCTTTAGTGTAGCCTGCACATACAGTACATCCCCACTCAGGACAGTCATGGTCTGCGTCCTCAGTAGCCTTGGAGGCCTGTGGTTATCAGGCTAGACATGCGGATCCACATGGTGCGATAGGAACTGTCCAAGTAACCTGCCAGTTCATCCATGTGTGCAATATTAGTTAACTAAAATAGCTACATATGCATAACTAAACTTCAGGTTTAAGCATGAAAGTCCCTCTTTTGGGAAAGA